CATAAAGTGCTGAAGTTGACGCCTTTCCATAGATCTGACCTGAAACTATAGGTCTGGTGGCATCACCTACTGGTCTCCATGGAGATAGAAACATTTAGAACCATACTGTGGAACAGTATAAACTCTTGTACTGCTGTTTGTTCATAAAACTATGCCCATCTTAAACAGCGTCATTTATAAACTTGTACATTTCTCGTCCCTTCCCCAATAGCCTCCTGCTTTCCTTTGTTCACAGCGTTGTCCCTCAGCGAGGCCTAGTTATAGTTACCAGTCTCAGGTTCAGCTCATTCTTTATTGATGCTGGTGTCACTTCACTTGAGTCCATCTCCTGTCCCAGACCAGACCTGCGCTTTTCGGACCCAACGCTCCTCTGAAGTTTGAGTCACGACGCTGAAGGAAATATGTCAGCGTAAAAGAGGAACCAGAACTCACAGAAAAGTCCAAAAGGAGAAAAACAAGGAGAGAAAGAGGACCCTGGTTCTGTTGTGGTGAGTTCACTTGATTATTGTAATCAATAGATTGTAGATATAGATTGGGTTCATGTTTTAGAATTTGCTGATGTCATAATTTCAAATGGAGGGCAGGGTCTTTTAAAGTTCTATGTGAGATTCACTCCATTTGAAAGAAATCACCAAATGTTGCACCTTCTCATTATTTCTCTGAGTTTAGCTCCAGAGCTTGTCAAATTAATCTTGGTTTTAAGTTCTTTCATCAGACAACATCACGTCTTTAGGTTTTGAGTAATGGCACCACTTTCTGAAGCTGTTGTTTATTTATTGTGACAGAGAAGACGCTGAACTTTGTGCCAGTTTTTGTTTCATGTGGACAGGCTCAGGAATTACACAGACATGAACCATAAACCAGGTCAAATCTGCAATCTGACAGTTACACAGAAAACTCCACCTGAGATTCTGACCTGTCTCCAGTTCAGTTTAAACTATGGAGATTCTGCAATGTTGTGACGTGAATAAAACCTCCACAGAGATCGGGCACAGCTGGCATAAGAGGTCTTGTATAATGTACTGTCAGTGATATAGTCTCTGTAATGTTAAAGATGTAAGCTGATACAGTAACAGGCTTTCAGAATGTGGATACCTGGTGTGTTTAACAGTGGTTTTCATAACTTCAATTACATATTTTCGAAAATTTGAAGTTCTGAAAGAAATATTTTAACACATTTCAAAATAGCAATGTTTTGAATATGCAGGACTGTAAAGTACCTAGATACATACATTTATTTATACTTTGAGTGTAGGAGAAAAACACATTTAAGATGATTTTTTTTGATTGTTTGCAGGAGTAGTATAGATAGTAGTAGTAGTAGTAGTAGTAGTAGTAGTAGTAGTAGTAGTAGTAGTAGTAGTAGTAGTAGTAGTAGTAGTAGTATGCCTATATACATGTTCTTATTTGTAGTTTCAGTATAGGAGAAAAGCATTATATTTTTTGTCTGTAGTAGTAGTAGTAGTGGTAGTAGTAGTAGTAGCTGTAGTATTAGCTGTAGTAGTAGCAGTAGTACTAGTAGTAGCCTATATACAAGTGCTTATTTGTAGTTTGAGTATAGGAGAAAAGCATTATATTTTTTGTCTGTAGTAGTAGTAGTAGTAGTAGTAGCTGTAGTATTAGCTGTAGTAGTAGCAGTAGTACTAGTAGTAGCCTAGATACAAGTGCTTATTTGTAGTTTGAGTATAGGAGAAAAGCATTATAAGAAGATTTTTTTGTTGTTTGTAGTAGCAGTAGTAGTAGTAGTAGTAGTAGTAGTAGTAGTAGTAGAAGTAGTGGTAGTAGTAGTAGTAGTAGCCATTGAACTTGTAGTAAAAATATAGAGAGGTATAGAGAAAATATTGCTGTGCACTTCCCCCTTAGATTAACTGAAATATTATTGCTGACTACTACCTCAGTTTAAATATATTGAAGTAACAATACTTTTACTAAACAGGGCAGATGAGTATTTTTAACTTATTGTATTGTTTTAGTTTTAGGTCTTTAGTTTTTGCTCCTTTTTTTGTTAAAATTAAGCAAAATTTATATATGTCAATGTCCGAATTCATACAGACTTCTCTATAAATACATTTGAAACAGTACTTTTACTAAATGAGTACTTTCTGCTTCTGTCAGTACAAAATGATATACCAGTAGTAACACTTTCTCATAGTAACTTCAGTCCGTCTTATATCTTAACTTTCGTTCAGTACGTGCAGAATCGTTCATGATAAATGTGTGCCTTTATCGAGTGCGCTCAGAATAATTATTAGAGTGTATTATTTTTCACAAAGGAGCTGAAACTTATCCGTGTTAATTGATGTATGAAGGTCACAGTGGTTAAATTATTGAGAGGCCTGTTTGGATAGGCCTGTTTGGTTTGGATAGGCCTGTTTGGTTTGGATAGGCCCTGGGTGTGGCCTAGTGCACGTCTCAAACAGCATTGAAAAGTAATGTTTGTTAAATTGACCAAAAGCTTTAGAATAGATAAGTGTGTGCAATGAAATGATGTTGTATTTACTCAGGGATGGCAGTGGTTTGAGGTTTCATGTTTTAGTCAAAAAAAAAAAAGTAAATAAAGAGATAAAGGTTGGTGCATTAAAGGGCCCTGATGACTCTGTTTTCTGATCTATGTTCTATAGTTTCCTCATCACAAACAGACTTGGAGTTGTGCTTTCTTTCGTTCACACATGTTTAACATACAAACCTTGGAGACTTATGCTGAGTTCTTCTCTCAAACAGAAAACACTGTTCCACCTTATGATGTCATGTGGTAATACAGGAAATGCTCCACTGTGTTTTTAAACTCCAAACACCTTCACTAGAATCATTTGGATCATTTCAGCCCTGGAATTGCACATTTCTACTGAACTAAAGATAAAAGGAGCTGTTCACTTAAAAACTACCACTACATGACATCACAAGGTGGAGCAGAGCATTTTGAGCTTTGGAGATGTAGACAGACTAATAATGCAGACATGTGTGAATGAAACAAAACATAACAAGAGGTAAATTTCTGTTGAACAGCATTATAACATTGATATTATTACAGGTAGGGTTGTGCATAAATATCAAAATATCGATATATCTTATCACTTAATGTGATGATACAGTATGGATATCATGGACTGCTTTATCGATATATCGACAAAAGTATTTTTTGGAATATTTTTACTTAATTATTTTGCGTGTTTAGAGGAAGGAAACTTGTTTATGCGACATATTTGACATTTTCACAGTTTTGATGATTTAAATGTTTGTGTTTCATATGAAATTTGCACAACTGAAGCGTGTCAAATCGATTTGAAATATATCATATCGAACCGAAAGTGCACTGCATCGGAATATGTGTTGTATTTTGGCCTATGTATCGAGGTATGTATTGTATCGGCAGCTTCTTAATAGTCTTAAAGCTTCTCTAATTTCCATGTAGACAAATAGTTGGTGGATCCACTCTCCAGAAATGTTAGATAATGCATATAATGCACCTTAAATGTAACTGAAGTGTTTAATAGGTTTTGTGTAAGGATGTTAATGTTGTAATGTTAATGGATGTTGATTAAACTTAAATGTTTCCTAATGTCTCCTAATGTGGAAGTGGCATAACTAAGGACTCTGTGAAGGTTTGGAATAGGAGACATAACCCACTTTTAGTATGAACTCCTATTATTGCATCTCCATTCTGTAAAATATCAGAAATTGTATGTTTTTTTGTTTGTTTGTTTTGTTTTTAGATAACAAATCTACAAATGATGGATCTTATGACCACGATCTTGCTTATATTTTTTGCTAACAAACATCAGAGCAGATATCAGGGGAATCAGCAACATAGCCAATAGATACTTCATTTATCCAATGACTTTTTATGACTTTTTACAGAATTAAAAGCACAGGCTGTTTATAATCTAAGGATTGAAAGCTCAAAATAATGTAAAATTACTTATACACTGATAATTCAGCAGTTAATGCAAAGTTCCTTTGCAGTTTGCATTTGTTTACATTAGCAACTAGAACCAAAGTGACGGCACATGACTGCAAGACCATAAGATGTAGCCCATGTGTCTGGCAAAAATGTTTTTTCTAACCACACAAAATTTGCAGATTAACAAAAGTTTATAGACTTTTTTTTTTTTTTTTTTTGCACCCATCTCAAAAGAATCTGTGATACCCCTGGTTTGTGGTGGATGGTAATAATAAAATTGTGAAATGAAAATTGTGCTGCACTCGGCCGATTCATGACCAACACGGGAGTCAGTATAATTATGTTACATTTTGTGTTTTGGTTATTTTAATCAGCTTCTGTATTCTGTATTTTACCTCAACAAATGACAAGTTTATGTCTCTCTTTACTGTTGGCAGCGATCCGATAGGTCAAAAATCGCGACACCTGAGACATTTCTTGTATAAAACTGGGACAAATCACTGGTTTTGGATAAATGAGCTGGAACAGGGGACACAGGCTCAAAACTGGGACCATCCTGGGGAAATAGGGATGCCTGGTCACTAGGGATGTAACAATATCCAAATCCCTGAATACAATATTTTCATTTATTGCGATATTTTGTGGAGAGGCTAACAGAATTGTGAATATGTTATTGTTTTCCTTTTAAAATGCCTTGACAGTCCTTTGGTCTGTCTTTTCTGTCATCATCCAAAGAACTAAGATTTAAAAGTGCCTAATAACATCATTTCTACATACTGTTTGTGCTGAAATGAAGCAAAGGATCATGGTCTATGTAGTTCCCTTGGCTTTTTTAGTTGATGCTCTACCATAACAAAGAATGTAAGCAAAGAGAACTGTAATTCTGTGTAATTGTGATGGCTCACGACGATACGATATCACAACATTTCAGTTATTGTTACACAACAACCCTACATAAACCTGACCCTTTTCTAAATGCTGATTAGTTCCTTGTTTGTTGTGAAAGCTTTATTTGATTTCATACATTTGTTTAGTTGTATTTTAAGTAATAAGTTTAAAGTGCTGTGTGTGTTTTCCAGCTGAAAGGAGCTCGTGAAGCATGAAGCGCAGTAAGCACCGTGGGCACAAGGAGGACAAAGGAGGAGGTATCAGTGACACAGAAAAACACTACACTAAACAAAGATGGCTGCCACAAAGTCAGGCCAAGAAGAAGCAGGAAGTGCAGCTCAAGTTACACTATGTAAACTTTCAGGGGGAGACTTTGTTTACTTTATTAACTAAATTATATGAAATCATTTACTTTTAAGACAAACTATTACAATGAAACAAATCTTCTCAAAAGAAATGTAACCACTGAGGAGGTTTTAAGAAGAGCTTAAGCTAAAGGCTATGGAAGCTAATGCTAAAGTAAGTAGGCTAATGGGGGTCGGTCTGTGCGCTAAATGCTAATGTTTATGGTGACATTTATGCTCATTTTACTGCCCGTATATGTAATGTCATGATGTAATAATATTCTGGGACAAAAGACTGACTGACTGTACTATTATAAAATATACCTATACTGACGAGTTGCTAACCTAAACTAGGACTGTGCAAAAATATTTAAATATCAACATAGCATATTGTTTAATGTGATGATACAGTATTGATATAGTGGGCTGCTGAGAGAGTATTTTTTGGTATATTTTACTAAAGTATTTTGTTACAGGACTACAGGTTTGTTGTTTGTTTAGAGGAAGGAAACTCGTTTATGCGACACATTTGACATTTTCACTGTTTTGAGGATTAAAATGTTTGTGTTTCATATGAACTTTGCACAAGAAGTGGTTTAACAAAGACTTTTAGTATCACAGGCATGATTTAGACTTTATTTTTATTGAACCATATCAAATCGATTTGAGATATACTGTATCGAATTAAAAGTGCACTGTATCAAGATATGTATCGTAGGGCTGCTCAGTTATGGAAAAAATAATTATGATTATTTTGGTCAATATTAAAATCACAATTATTCAACCGATTATTTTTTAGTTTGAAGCATATTTTTTTGTTACATACATTTATTCAGCATTTCTCTCTCTCAAAAAAAAACAACAAAAAAACAACAACAAAAATCACTTTACACTTTACTTTTTCTAATTTACGCAAAACTTTCAAATGGAAAATAAATATATTCTAAAAAAATCTGTGCCTTAGAGCAGTTTTGCAATATATAAAACATAAAATGTATAAAATATGTTTTGAACAAGAAATAAGGCATTGAAAAACATAAATGTATCCAAAATAAACCATATATTTAACTGTTCTACAATCTCTATATTAAAAAAATAAAATAAATATACTTACTTATATTAAAAAAATATCCCAAAATAAACTTTGTTACGCTTTATAACAAATCGTTTTAACATGATTATATGAGTTTGGAGATTGTTTAGCATACAAATCGAAATCGCAATTAAAATTTGATTAATTGCAGAGTTTTAATGTATCATATTGTGGACTATCCATCGAGGTATGTATTGTATCAGCAACTTCTTAATGATTCCCAGCCCTAACCTAAACGTACTAGACAGTAGCCTTGTTTTTTTTCTGGCAAAAATAGGTCATGGTTTAGGGATGTGTTTTAACTTGTGGTTTAGTCCTGGTTTAGTTCTGCATTGGTCTCTAGGTTAGACATGTTTAAGACTTTGTTCAGCACAGATGCTGATGGTAGAAGATGGTAGGTCTGAACCAACTGGGAAAAATCTCTTAATTGTGACTTTTCTGACAAGCATTGCAATTGTAATTAGTTTTGCAATTTATGCTTTAACAATAAGATTTTGTTCAAAGTTCACATTTTAAACACGTCCAGAAGAATTGACTATGACTATGACCATGACTATTAAATATGAACTGACAAACTAATACAAGAATCACATTTCAGAACATTCACTAAAACGAGTCTGAATTTCTTCTCTTTTTTCTCCACAGATGAGCCAGCCATCTTGGAGACAGAGAACCTGGACAGACTGGGCTCGTTCATGGGAGGAGGTCCAGACCCAGACACCATCTCTCTGGCCTCCGTCACCGCGGTAACCACCAATGTCTCCAACAAGAGGTGAGATGCACTTCAAATGTGATCCTTTTTTAAATCAATCTTTTTGTATAACATCTCCTTTTTTCTTGTTGGGATTGCCACATATTTAGCCATTCACACTGTGAAGTTTTAACCCAGATACAATTCCTTCCAGCACTTTGTGTCTAAATGACACCACTGCGCGCTGTCTGCATAATAATAGAGTTAAAAGCAGCACAGTGGCTGTGCTTGGGCAGGTCACCCCAGTTTCATGTTGCCATCTGAAAAAAGTTATTTTAAATCCGTGCACAAGGCAGAAAAATGAATGCACAAGGATAATAATAACGTGCCAAAGAGTCTGTGAGAGCTAAAGGCTAATTAAAAATGTCCTCCTTCTGTGGTGTGAAAATAGGTACCTCAGATCTAAGTAGATAAAGATTTATCTTAGGACTGATGCAGGAAACTGGGGCTTCATTTTAGGAACCATTGTGCCTGCCCAAAACCTGGACTAATGAAGAACAAGACATCTGGGCATTCACTCTGAAAATTTTTTCTTTCATTCTTTTAGATCCAAACCAGACATAAAGATGGAGCCCAGTTCTGGACGACCGGTGGATTACCAAGTAAGAACAACAGGCACTTTTTCTGTAAACAATAATACAAGTATTGAAATGTGTTTAAGCAGTGTAACGTAATTGTAGACTGCATGTTGACAACACATAATTCCCAAACCCCTTTCTGCAGGTGAGTGTGACGGTGATCGAGGCGCGGCAGCTGATCGGTCTCAACATGGATCCAATGGTTTGTGTCGAGATCGGAGAAGACAAGAAATACACCTCCATGAAAGAGTCCACCAACTGCCCCTATTACAACGAGGTGAGGGCAGAACCAGGCCTGTCAGGTTTATCACTCTGTAGTGTCAGAATACTTTTCAAAGAACTTATAAGTTATTAACATTTAGCATCTTAAAATCTCCATTGGCTTTATATTAGGCTAACTGAAAATGTTATGGGGATTTGCTTTAGTGGAGAACGTTTTCATATTTCGTCAGTGGTTAATGTAGCTTGAATTTTATTTCCTATCATGATGTTGGCACTGTAAAATTTTTATTAAGATTCTCCAAAACCCAGTGTGCAAATCATATTCACAATGGAAACATATATACCCAAATCTGCAGTCTTAAAATGTATTAAGTGTATTTTTTTCTCTTCTCTTTTTCTTTTCAGTATTTTGTATTTGACTTCCACGTCCCACCTGAAGTTATGTTTGACAAAATTATCAAGTTATCTGTAAGTAATTCTCTTTGTACAAATGAATCAAAGCACAAATTTGAGTTTTAAAAATCTATAATTTATCTTTATTCTTTCAGGTGATCCACTCCAAAAACCTGCTGCGTAGTGGGACACTGGTCGGGACTTTCAAATTAGACGTTGGCACAATTTACTCTCAGCCTGGTGAGTCACAAATGGTTCATAACAACATCACTAATTAAAGCTGTATTCTGGAACTTTACTGATAAGGGTTTGCCACCTGCTTGTCTCCATGGAGCTCTTATTACTTTGCCTATAATCTTCCACAGTATAAAATGTAGCTATCTCCAAAAATCTATGCACATTATTGGACTGAAATGGAATAAATGCAATATATGCCATACTGTGAAACATTTAATCTCCATGGAGAGACATACAGCTTTTGGAAAAGTTACATAGTGCACCTTTAACACTGAATTGTGAGTTACACTCAAATGTGGAATCACTGAGAACTATAATTATTATTATTTATCTATCTTTGCCAAACGAGTCAAATCAATACAGATAAAAATTGACCAAGTTTTATTTTCTGCAGAGCACCAGTTCTACCACAAGTGGGCGCTGTTGTCGGACCCTGATGACATCACTGCAGGCTGCAAAGGTTACGTGAAGTGTGATGTCGCTGTGGTCGCCAAAGGAGACACCATCAAAACTCCACACAAGGCCAACGAATCAGACGAGGACGACATAGAGGGGTAGGAAACACTGAGACTCAAATGTATCCTGAGAGAAAAAAAGGATTAGAAATGCCACAAAAAGGTCACCTGAAATAAGAAAAACTGAATCTTATAAATCATTTTAATTTAAAGAACTCCAAATTACGATATGAAACACATAATATGCAAAACTGTCTTTTTTGAGCTTTCAGCTAGTTACTTTATTGTCCCTGCATGGATATAAATGTGTTTGTCACACTTGTACATTTTGATTTTGAATAAGAATTACATCAAATGTAGCACTTAAAATACAAAGTGTAATTTCAGCATTACTTCGATGGATGAAATGTTTTTTCCTGAGGGGATCTTGCCTTACCCAGAAAGCTTAGTAAAAGAGGAAAAACAGCACACCACGACTCATACATCATTAAATACATCAAGATTATAATAAAGAGTGTTCTTGTGTATTTTCAGAAATCTGTTGATCCCAGAGGGCGTTCCAGCCGAGAGACAGTGGGCTCGATATTACCTGAAGATCTACAGAGCCGAGGGTCTGCCCCGAATGAACCAGAGCATCATGGCCAACGTGAAGAAGGCTTTTATAGGAGAAAACAAGGACCTGGTGGATCCTTATGTTCAAGTGCAGTTTGCAGGGCAGAAGGTCAGTCACACTGAAGGACTACTGCAAAATTACACATAGAAAATGCAAAATACATTAAAAACTATTTGACTACAGGAAAACAACTATTTACATCAATGAATAAGTTACTTATGTACTGTGTGTAGAATATTTAGTGTTAGTGAAACCATTGCAACTACTGAAGCAGTGCCTCAGATGGTGTAAGTAGAGTGCACTTATAACCAGGAGGTGTTTGGGTTCTGTTGTTTTATGGGGAAAATAAAGTGGATTTAAGTGAATAAAAGTTTTCCCGACAGTTGTGACTTACATATTGTGACATATATTTTTCAGTAATATGAATGAAGTGTATTACGTGTCCACAGGGGAAGACGTCAGTGCAGAAGAGCTGTTATGAGCCCATCTGGAACGAGCAGATTGTCTTCACTGAGATGTTTCCTCCTTTGTGCAAAAGAATGAAGGTCCAAATACGAGACTCAGACAAAGTGAACGACGTCGCCATCGGGACACACTTCCTGGACCTGAGGAAGATCTCCAATGATGGAGACAAAGGTAGTACTTATATTCACTTGACATAAATATATATATATGTTGTGTTTGTTGTTTGTTGAACCATTGTTTTAACAACTCAAGTTCTGTAGCTACCTCAGCTGTCAGCTTATGCAGGTCTCTCCTTGAACATAGGATGGTTGTATTATCTGATAACAATATAATAGTTTTCTTGAGAGATAGGATAAATTATTTTTGTGCAATAGAAATAAACTTGACCCAAGTACTGAGCCCTGGGGTATACCACAGGTAATGTGATTTATAGAGCCTCAACTGAAGAAATGCTGATTAAGCATGCTTAAGTATGACTTTACCCATATTTAACACTTTTAATTCCATCATTTTCCAGTAAAATGTCATTTATTTATTTATTTGGTTGGAGCAGTGCATATACAGACATGATACAACATGAATGTAAACATGACAAATTATAGCCAAAGGTTCATTTCCATCTGTTGTCCCAAACGGCTAGGGTCACAAAAGGGCCAAACAATAATAATACATCTCCTAAATCAAGTAAATATTGCATTACACAATGAACAAAATATAAACCATGATCTACATATGTTATAGTTTTATTCTAAAAATGTCCTTCTTCCCTCAGGTTTCCTCCCTACACTGGGTCCGGCCTGGGTGAACATGTACGGCTCCACTCGCACTTACTCCCTGATGGACGAGTACCAGGAGTTGAACGAGGGGCTGGGGGAGGGCGCCTCCTTCAGGGCCAGGCTCCTCATCTCTCTAGGGGTGGAGATCCTGGACGTGTCCTCCCCAGAGGTCACCAGCTCCACTGAGGTCCAGGTCGAAGGGATACCCAACATCTCCGAGGTGGGTACTACAAGTGTGATTTAAAGTGGTGCTCAAACTTGGTTAGACCCAGTGGAGAGAAAAGCATACACATCTTTCTGCCCACAAATGTACAAAGTGATTCCCTCTGTACTTTTTCTGAAAACAAAAGTGTTTGTATTTTCACAAACATAGGCTGAAGTACATCTGTAGGTGTCACCATGTTTGTTTGAGAGCTTCACCTTTGGCTGCAGAGTGGTTTGCCTGCTCAACAAAAAGCCTCAACAAAAAGCCATTTCTTTGTGCAGTTTGCATGTTCTCTCTGTGTCTGGGTGGGTTTCCTCTGGCTTACATCATTACCTTAAAAATTTTCAGGACAGTGTAGCAGATATAATTCAATGAACCAGTAATTCTATATTAACAATTAAAAGCCCATGAATAAACCAAAATATAGGTTATGACTTCGTAGTAACTAAAACCTTTTGTCATGTCTTGTAAATGATCCTTTAACAGTGCCGTCTCCTGTGGTTCATTGTACACAGACACTTGTACATTATTGATCCCCTTTATTTAGACCACCTGCTGAATTATTTACTCTGTTTGTTGGCGACAATGTAAAAACATACAATATTAATGCAATGGTAATATGCCCCCGGGACTCACTTCTCACTGAGCAGCTCATCTGATGAATTTAAACACCAGTACTTATCCATATATACAAATACAAACACTTGAAATGCATTATGTGTTTCCTTTAAAGTTGCACTGCGTAACACAATGCACCTTTAACATTAACAGTCCACATTTAAAGGTACATTATGCAACTTTTCTGGTCTCTATGGAGATGTTATTGCTTTATCTAATGTCCCACAGTATATACAACAGAAACAAGAGGAGCTTTTTTTCTCCCTTCTTCAAATTGACCCCAGACTCCTCCTGGACATTTGTGGTATTACATGGACATTAAAGTCAGTAAAATAATACTTCCTATTTTGCTCACAGACGGCCACTGGGAAAGTTGAGGAGTTTTTCCTGTTCGGAGCTTTCCTCGAGGCCACAATGATCGACAGAAAAATCGGAGACAAACCCATCAACTTTGAAGTCACTATAGGTAAGTTCACCTGTAGGACAGAAGTATCATCTTAAATCTTAACCTTATCTTAACAATCTGTTCCTTTTCTTCAGTAACTGCACTTTCTTGTACACATTATACTCAATATTGTAATTACGCATACTTACTAAACAACAATTCAATGTTCATTTTAATTTGATGTATTTTTGCATTAAATCACAATGATGAATTAGTAGTCACAGTTCTGACAATATCCTGCTTTATTCACTTCTCTAAAATATCTGCTATTCTTGGATTTCCGCTTGATGGAATTTCGTTTTGAGTTGTTAATTGCCATATCAATTGTGCTAACTGAATGAAATACATGGGATTGTCCAGGTTACTATGGAAACGAGGCAGACAGCATGATCCAGCCTAAATCCAAAGGTAAAAAAGACGGAGACGAGGAGGAGACGGAGCTGATCCATCAATCGAGCGACGAAGAGATCGAAGACGACGGAGATTTTCAGTCTGTGTCTGTGACTCCACCGATGAAGCCCGTCATAACAGACAGGTCGGAAAAGAGTTTATGTCATAGACTTAAAGTGCTTATGGCAGGTTAGACTCTTTTTACCAAAACACAGTTAAGATCATTATATTTAAGATTTAAGACAAAATGTTACTAATTTTTCCCAATTTTGTCAGTTTGTAGGTTTTAAATTTTACTCTGTTACCTGGCTGGAAATCATGACGTCTGTCTTCTACCCATGTATTTCTCTAAAATAGAACTCTCCACTTTCTGTCATTTTCAACATTTTTTTCAACTTTTTTTCACATTTTGCTTCTTGATTGGTGTAAAATGATAATTTATACTTACAACAGGTATTATCCCACCAAATTAAGTCAAAACTCATCATAAATCATGGAAAACCTGTCAAACTCGAATGATCAATAAGGCATTTCTGTGTGGAGGTTGCATGTTCTCCCTGTGTCTAGGAGGGTTTCCTCCATCAACCAGAAACATGCACAACAGGTGAAATCCTCCAGCTAAGGTAATTCTGACCAAGACTAGCTCAAGATCAATACATTTCTATAATTGTGCCTTATTTGACACATGTCTCTTTTTAGAATGTATTGTTTTATATTTTTCTCTTTGTTATTATTTTATATTGTGATGTGTGAGTGACTGTGTCCAATATCAATCAGTAAAGTTTGTCCAAGTCTAAAATGGATAGATTTCACTCAGTGACTTTGAAGGATGGGTCAAATGCAGTGGACTTTGTTTTTCTTAAGGGGACATTAAAATATACCTTAACTTTGCCTTTAAGAAAATGAATAATTAAATATATTATGAATTTTCTCAAGACAAGACAGAATGCAGAATAAATGGTTCATGATTTTGGCAAAAACTGTTGTTGGTTAACTCACAGGAAGCAGGGAGATAGCTCAGTTTAATGCCGTGCTATGGAACATTTCAGCAAAGCAACAACATCTCCTTGGAGACAAGCAGATTGTAGAAAAGTTACAACATAAAGCTTATAATAATAATTTTCTGAGTTGCATTTAAAGTTGCAAATGGTTTCTCCATGGAGATGTTATTACTTAGAATGTTTCCCAGTGTGGCATTAAACCTTTCTATCTTCGCAGAGACCAAACCAGACCATATTACAGGTCAGATCTGTGGATCTTCTCACAGTCAAAATGCCTGTTTTTCTAGGTATTTTTGAGCTATAAAATCACCTGTAATTTAATAAATGTAAGGTAGAGCTGTTTAAAGTCACACTGTGGAACATTCCAGGCAGAGCAATGACGTATCCATGGAAAGAAGCAGGTGACGGACCCCCAACCGAAAAGTTACAAAGTGCATCTTTAGGGTTTACTCTAAAGCCAATACACAAACTTCTTATATTTACATTTTTATTTACATTTCTTCATGACTCTTCCCTCAGAAACTACTTCCACCTGCCGTACTTTGAGAGGAAGCCTTGTATCTACATCAAGAGCTGGTGGCAGGACCAGAGGAGGAGACTGTTCAACGCCAACGTCATCGACAACATCGCAGACAAACTGGTGAGTGTCATGCAGATGGAACATGAGAATAATAATACTGCTTTAATTAATATCAGTGTAAATAACTGACTCCAACTACCTGTAGGAGGAGGGTCTGAACGACGTCCAGGAGGTCATCAAAACAGAGAAGGCCTATCCTGAAAGGAGACTGAGAGGAGTGCTGGAGGAACTCAGCCATGGATGCAGGTCACAATCAGGAAATAAATCAATATTTGTTCATTGGTTAAACTTACAGTACCCAGATGTGGATTGGGTAGCCAAAACTGTACTCAAGTAATACTGTTGTTATTTCAAAATTACGATAGACTGATTTATAAACTGAAGTTAACATAATTGGAGGGACAAAACATGAAATAATGCACAAAACTCTGTATTTTCTGATGATAGACACACAAACACATTGGAAGGTCCAGTTCAAATCATTTTGTCAGCATAAAACTTTTGTGACTTGTAAACTTAATCACAGTTGGAAATATAACTAAAACATTTACTTCAAGTTACATAAAACTTTTCTTTTCCCAAATTGGATTTCTTTTTTTTCCTGGCTGGGAATTTCATAACTGTTACCCAACCATAATGTACATTGGGCTCAAAACTACATTAAGGTACACAGAAATTATAATTTAATCAATAAAAAGACAAGAAAACACCTTTATTTTATTGAAGTAATGTTTAAAGTAACAGAAAAAAGTTATCACATTTTTCAACTTTTCTCCACAAACTGTTTCTTGATTCGGTTAAAACTATAATATATATTTACAACAAGTTTTATTTAACTAAATTAAGTAGATATTAGAGAATCATAAAATTCAGAGAATCAAAAAAGTAAGAGTACTGTTCCACTGTACAATATACTATTAAAAGTATGGAGTTTTACTAAAACGTTACTCAAGAAAAAGTGAGTACGAGCCACCTTTGACAGTTTGATAAAGAATGTTTTTAATTTTAATTTAAATAAAACTATTCCATCTCTCCCTGTTTCTAGTCAGTTTTTGTCCCTTGCAAACAAAGACCAGAACCAATCAGGTCGAACCAAACTGGACCGAGAGAGAGTGAAGCTGTGCATGGCAGAAGTGGTGAGTATACTGTTTAAAAGAGCATAGATTTCCACAAATTTTTGTCCAGATTAAATGTTCAGTCTCCCTATTGTGTATCTCCCTGGTGTTTAATACTCGCTGGACAGGATATCTTATTGTACTATAGTTTTTCATGTATTATGTTCTCTGTAAATCTGTTTCTTTCTGTTTTTGTTGACTTTTATGTGAAGCCCTTTGGTCAGCTGAAGTTGTTTTAAATGTGTTATATAAATAAACTTGAACTGATCTGATAAGAATCTTGTGTTTTGTGTTGCAGGAGTCGATTGGTCAGCAGGCCAAGACCATGAGGACCCAGGTCAAAAAGAGCACAGTCCGAGACAAACTCAAACTCACATTTAACTTCCTGCACAAGCTCCGCTTTCTGGCCGATGAGGTAAGAACATGGTTTGTTAACACTTTATTATATGGCATACCTGCAAATTATTTGTAAATGTTTATTAACCATTAACGAATTAAAAGTAAATGTTAACCATTAACTAATCATTTACTAAAAACTACAAGTATGTCATTGTAAGTACATGAGTAGTTAAGGATTAATAAACATTTGTAAAATGTTTGTAGATGTTTCTAATTAAAAGTTTATGAATGTTTTATTAATTATGACACGCTTGTTAATGAGAAGGTAATTTTTAGTAAATGATTAGTTCATGTTTAATAAACATTTACAAGTGATTTGTAGGTATGCCTTATTATAAAGTGTTAGCCATCATTTAAAGGTGTACTATGTAACTTTTTGGTTCTGGGTTAGTCACCTGCTTGTTTCTATGGAGATGTCATTGCTCTGCCTGGAATGTTCCACAGTGTGACATTAAACAGCTCTACTTTACATTTATTAAGTTACAGGTGATTTTATAGCTCAAAAATACTTAGAAAAACAGACATTGTTACTGAGCGATTTTGCCTCTCCATACATCTGACCTGTGACTTGGTCTGGTTTGGTCTCCATGGGGATAGAAAGGTTTAATGCCATACTGTGAAACTTTCAAGACAAAGTAATAACATCTCCATGGAGAAAAGCATTTGACGGACCCTCCGCCAGAAAAGATACACAATGCAGCTTTAAAACCCAGTACATGAGGGATAATTTAATCACCTCCAAAACATGTGTTTCCCAGCCCCAGCACAGTGTTCCGGATGTGTTCATTTGGATGATCAGTAACGGGAAAAGAATCGCTTATGCCAGAATCCCCTCCAAAGACATTCTGTACTCCAGCACCGAGGAGGAGAGGGGCAAGGACTGTGGCAAAGTCAAGACCCTGTTTCTACGGGTGAGTCCCAGTTTAGTCCTGGTTTAGTCCTGGTTTAGGCCTAGTTTAGTCCTGAGTTTAGACCTGGTTTAGTCTGGGTTTAGTCTGGGGTTAGTCCTGGTTTAGTATCGGTTTGTACTGGGTTTAGTCCTGGTTTAGTCCTGATGTAGGTTTTTGATTGCATAGTTCCTTTCTTCTGATGTTCTTTTACTTAATGTTGCAACATTGAAATCTCCCAATTGAGGGACAAGTAAATATTGTCACAAAAATCTAGAAACTTTGTTAAATTAAGCAATTAATTGCATAATATCTGACTGTATAATTGTAATGAGACAAAAAAAATAGGACACATTCAATTGTATTTTATTATCTAATGAAAAAGTCCAACATGTACATATGCATTTGTTTTGTGTGTACATTTCCTTATGAACCCCCTCTGTGCTCGTCAGATCCCTGGGAAGAAGGGCTTTGGTCCTGCTGGGTGGACGGTGCAGAGTAAAATCGAGATGTATCTGTGGATGGGTCTGAACCGTCAGCGCAGAGACTATTTGAGCGGACTCCCCAACGGGTTTGAGGAGAACAAACTGTCCAAAGGGCCTGGGCTGCCCTCCTCTCCCCCCATCAGCCTCACATACATGAGTAAGACTTATATGGATATACACACATCATTAAAGAGGCACTGTGGAACTTTTCTGCTGTTTGTTCCATGGTTATGGCATTAATCTTAATCCTTCTCTCTCTTCTCTCCGTTCTCTCTCTGTCTCGTACTCTTTCCTACCTCCCTCTTCTTTCTGTCCTCTCTCTACTCCTCTCCTCTTCCTCCTCTCTCTCTCCAGTGAAGCAGATGTTCCAGTTGCGTGTTCACATGTATCAGGCTCGTAGTCTGTTTGCGGCCGACAGCACGGGTCTGTCTGATCCTTTCGCTCGAGTTTTCTTCTCCACTCAGAGCCAAGTCACTGAGGTGAGTCCGACCTGCATCTACACTACGACTCAACCTCTGGCAAGATACTTTCATTAGATCACAATTAACTGTAGCTCTTGTAAAGAGTTACACACGTTACAACAAGCAGCACTGGGGCTACAGGCCCATAGGAGCCCATGGGTGCCTCTGAGCTGCCCCTGGGGCTATCGTGCTGCTGATGTTATTATGCTCATGAGTGAAATCTGATTTCTTCTGAAAGTATATGAAATACAAAACATTGCACACAGTGTCTTCCACAGAGATCAAGCTCTGATAGATGTCTCATTTGGTCCAGCCTCTTTTCAGTGATCTCTCTCTTTCTCTCTCTATCTCCTCTCTCCCTGTTCTCCCTCTCTTCTTTCAGGTCCTCCCGGAGACCCTGTGTCCAACCTGGGATCAGCTTTTGGTTTTTGAAAATGTGGAGCTTTTTGGAGAAGCGTCAGAGCTCAGAGACGACCCCCCAATCATCGTCATCGAGATCTACGACCAGGACACTGTGGTAAGAGACGAGGCCTGACACAGACCTGTGAAAAACCACTGGGGACATACAAAATACAGAATAATACTTGCAAATATGTCCTTTTGATTCACTTCTTACATACATATTATTATATGAAAGATTTGAAGTTTTGTTTTAGAGCTTATCTTATTTTTAATTACAAGTTTCATTTAATTCATTTATTTTATATTATATGTGTATACTTTTTATGCTTCTTTTCATTCATGCTTCTGATTTAATGTAATGCTGTGTCTTTTATAGGGCCTGTTTTAAATGTAAACATATTTTGTCTTCTCAAAAACAAATGAAAATGGCTTCCAGTATGAATATCCTGAACTCAGAGAATACTCTTTTTTTAAAATTGGGTTCATTATGTTATATTTTATAAAATACTTTTCCAGTATTTTGCTAACTATGAATTTCACATCTGTTCCGGTGAATAACTTCTTTGTTTGGGACCACGTTTGGATAAGTAGAGTTTGTGCTTGTTTTACTGTCGAGGGGCTGTTATGTGTGTAGTCAAACAAAGACATGCAAGAAGGACAATTACATTTGACTCTATAATACTATAATACTTATACATAATATTTCTTATAAGACTTGTCCCTGTTGCATTCCTTTAACGAACATTGTGCTTTTGACTGTGGGACGATCACTACATGTTTACACTCAGTGAGGTACAATGAAAACTAGAAACAATGGATACTGTTGGAAATTGTGGCGGCCTCTTGTGACTGGAAGAGGAGTACAATTCTAATAGAAACAGGAAATTTCAATTAAATTTCAGTTTCAAATAATGGTAGTTTTGAATTCTAGTAATAGTCCAGGTAATAGTTTGCAGTGACCTGTGGAAATATTCATCCTAATCATACTTCACGGTCTGTATATTTTTGCAGAATTACACTATATTTACATGTCAATACACCAACCAGAGATAACTGTTCTATTTATTTCTAAAGAATGCAATATTAGCAAAATACATGTTTTTTTCAAGAGTTTTTAACATTACAGTGTTTTTTTCCCCCATCACAGTTCTGCCAAGACCTAGTTCCTAACCAAAATATCTGTTCCTAAACCTAGTCTATAGTCCTAAATCTGCATCCTAAATCCTAAAACTGTACCCTAATTGAGAAATAATATAATTTCAGATATTAGCATTTGTAGCTTAACATTGTTGTGAGGCATAACTATGTGAGGAAAAATTAATGGTGCTGTTTAAATGGAAAAACGGCAAATTAAGGAAGTTGATTTCAAGAAAATGTTTTGATCTTGAGTAGAACTTTACAGTCACAACATGGCTGCTGGACCTGGATGTTGTTTACTACAGGTTACCATGACGCTAACTCCTCTAGTTTTCATTATACCTCATTGTTAATGTTTAGACTCCTGTATAACCACTAACTGCAAGAGAGACTTATCATGTATATTATTTTATTTTTACATCACATCAAAACATCCACTCACTCCTGTTTTGCAGTTCACTGGTTATTTTGTCTGTCTTGAAACATGTGCATAAAAAGCCATGTTTCTACTGTATAAATGTTCTGGTGATGGGATCTGGTAAGACAAAGTTATGTTATTTTTGGTGGAGGGTCCATCACCTGAAGATGTTATTGCTTTGTCTAGAGTGTTCCACAGTATAGCATTAAACCGTTTTATAGCTCAGAAATACCTTGAAAAACATGGGACCACCTCTCCACACATCTGAGCTGTAACTTGGCCACTTGCTTGTCTCCACGGAGATAGTGAAGCTTAATGCCATACCGTGAAACATCACATGCTTTAGATACTTATGTGGATCTAAATGACAGACATGTATATGAACATGAACAGTAAACTCTAAACTTTCAAGGCAAAGCACTAACATCTCCATGGAGACAAGCAGATGGTGGAAAAATTGCATAGAGTCTCTTTACAGCCTGATTTCAGGTTTTTCAGAGGAGTTGGAGTTGTTGTATCTCTTGTGTTTTCAGGGCAAAGCCGACTTCATGGGAAGGACTTTTGCGAAACCCATCGTCAAAATGGCTGATGAACACTACGGCCCTCCTCGCTTCCCCCCTCAGCTCGAGTATTATCAGATCTACAGAGGAAACTGCACCGCTGGAGAGATGCTCGCCGCGTTTGAACTGCTACAGGTGCATATTTGTGACTCTATAAAATGATTCAAATAGTAGTAGCAGGAGTAATGTGTATTATATTTGTCTTTCAGATTGGTCCTAATGGTAAAGCTGACCTGCCTCCCATCGATGGCCCCACAGACATGGACCGAGGGCCCATCCTCCCGGTGCCTCTGGGGATCAGACCAGTGCTCAGCAAATACAGGATCGAGGTGAGAGCCACCAGTACATAGGCTGTACTGTGTTTTTTTATTTGTAACATTATCAGAAAGAGTTTGGCCTGACACTTTTTAATGCCTATTTTCACCATAGTTAGGTTCCTAAGCATATTACAGCTATCCTAAATGAGTAATATGGAACCACAAAACAGTATCACATCTTATTGATTTGCAGAAAAAATGTTTATTCACATACACAATCCACACTGTCTCAAATACATTCAAAATAATATATATATATATATATATATATATATATATATATATATATATATATATATATATATATATATATATATATATATATATATTATTAATATATATTTTCCCTCTTTGTAGGTGTTGTTCTGGGGTCTTCGGGACTTGAAGCGAGTGAACCTGGCTCAGGTGGACAGACCCAGAGTGGACATCGAGTGTGCGGGGAAAGGAGTCCAGTCTGCGCTGATACCAAACTACAGGAAGAACCCCAACTTCAGCACACTCGTCAAGTGGTTCGAAGTGGTATGAGATATACATATACACTCAGTTACAGTCAAACACATTTTATCTTATATATAAACCATTATAGATATTAAATACTATTGTCTCATCGCATTGTCTCCTCTCATGTCTCCTTCTCGTAGGACTTACCAGAGAATGAGCTGCTGCATCCTCCTCTGAACATCCGTGTGGTGGACTGCAGAGCATTTGGGCGTTACACTCTGGTGGGCTCTCACGCTGTGACCACACTCCGAAAGTTCATCTACAGACCTGGAGACAAGCAGGCCAACAACTGGAACACCAACGGTACACCAGCTTATGTTTCACCAGGGTTATTATACTATTATACTAATCAATGAATCTGACTGACAGTATTATTATTATTATTATTATTATTATTATTATTATAGTTAATTGATTAGTTGTTTAAATTGTGAATGATCCATAAATATGAGAGATTTACATTGATCCAGATGAATATAATAACGATGCCGTTAGAGGACATGGAGGATATTTACAGATATTTTCATCTGCTCATTTATTCCATAGGGTTAGGGTTAGTTTTGAAGTTGTTATCACTTCATTGCAAGATTAACTTGATTTTGCTGTAATTTAAAAACGTACAGACTCAAAAAACTTTGGAGAAAAAAAACACCATGTCACCACCCCCATGTACCCCTCAAGTTACAGAATAGTGGAAGGGCATCTGGCACAAAAATCAGCCAAATGACTGACTGTGATTTAATGAAATGCTCTTTGTCTGTTTCCTGTTTTAGAGGAAATAATAGTTGTGAACGCAGAACCTGAACAGAACTTTAAGAAGATGGACACAGTCGTCAAACTTGATTCTGTGAGTTTCATCAAAACAATACACAGTACATGACACACAATACAAAATACACATTACACCAAATCAGATAGATTAGTGAAATCATTATATTTCATTTCTATTCCAGTGCTCTGATGCTGTGGTCAAAGTAGAGGTAAGAGTTTGCTTTACTTCTTATGGTATATTTGACAAAAAGTCTTTAATATTTCCTGAAAAGTGTATGAATTCTATGCAATGTGCTTTGCTATGCCTTGCTATGTGTTACATAAATTCCACACTGTTAAAAAATACAACTGTTATTTTATTTTGATTTTGTTCTGTGACTAAAACATGACTATACACTATATATTCTATACACTTACACTGCCTGTGTTTATGAGCAGGATGATGATAAAGGGAAGAAAAAGAAGAGGAAGAAGGGAGAGGAGGTGGAGGAGGAGGGTCTGGATGAAAGCATGTTGGACTGGTGGTCCAAGTACTTCGCCTCCATCGAGACTCTCACTGAGGTATGAGGACTGTACACTAGTGCTGTTATAATACTCTCCTGACTGTTATGATAATAATGTGGGTGAATAGCCTGGGTTCATTTGACATCACAACATTTAAAGGTTCATAATTTAAACTGAGCTGAAAATTAGAATTCTATGTTGAATTTGCTATTTAGATCACACATTTGTTGACCTGGTTTATGGCTCGTATCAGTGTAATTACCATCCACATGAAAAAAAAACTGGCATAAGGTTGAACATCCTCTCTGTCAGATTTTTTGTTCTTGTGATACAGAAAGTGGTCACAAAGGACTTCAAACAACAATTCTGCCAGACAGTACTTATTGTCACTGCACTAAAATGTCAAATTTGATTCTGATTCTAAAGAAAAGGTTGAAACCATTATAATAATAAAAACTTTTTTAGACAATAGAATGTAATGGAGCTCAGCAGTGACTGTCAGAAGTAATTTTCCATTTATTTTTCCCATAGACTTTCTGAAAAATTCTAATATTAAGTGTTCAAAGGCTTCGTGCAGGTTAACTAATATCCGTAACAGGGTTATTTTAAGGTCAAGTGCAAGATTCAGTGAAATATTTTAATAACTTAGCGGTGTATTAGCAGTGTGTGATTTAACATTTTTAAAAACAATAGAGTTAGAGTTAGGCTTGTGGTCATTAGTGACCACAGAGCTGATTAGCCCTGAGCTTTTAAACTTTTAATATTATTTGGTTCAGGAACCTGGGGGTAGGTGGTCACTCCTACTCCTGGAGCTCCATTATCAACCAAATTATAATAGTTTCTTTTATATTTCAATTTGGTGTTCTAGTTCTGATAAAGAGCAAGATCTAGGTTTGATTCTAGCTCATAACATTTTGCATTTTAATTCTGCTAATTCAGTAGTTTGCTGTCACATATTGTTTTAATTATGTATTTATATTTGTTGTTTTTTCCCCAGTCACTCAGAGCACAAGAAGCTGCTTTTTCAGACACAGAGGACAATAATGACTCAGACTTGGCCGATGGAGGTAAAACCAAATATACCAAAATCACTCTAGATCTGTTTGAATTTAAGAAATCATAACAAAATTATTTGTTAAAGCTGAATATTTTTATTTTGTCTTACGATCTGTGTAAGCTAACAGTATCGCAACAGCTCATACTGTCTAGAGTAGTCTTTTGTTGTTGCTAACTTGTGTCTCTGTCCCACTGCAGTAGTAGTAGAAATATGTGTGTTTGAAGTAACAGTAACAGTAGTGTAGTTTATTTTTGCATGGGTATCATAAGTCTATATAATCTCTGTAGTTGTTGTTGTAGTATATGATAGTACTTAATGTTGCATGTGCATTGCTCCCAACCATTGTGTCCCACCACAATAGCAGTTTATGTAGTAGTAGTAGTAGTAGTAGTAGTAGTAGTAGTAGTAGTAGTAGTAGCAGCAGTAGCAGCAGTATTTGGCCTGCCAAAGTTGTGGTTGTTGCAGTATCAGTATTAGAAGTAGTAGCAGTATTTGTACTGTAGTAATCATAGCTGTAGAATTTCAAATGTTGCATTTCATCCACCTGTGTGTCCCTCAGCAGCAGTAGTAGTAGTAGTAGCAGACTTGCAGTATCAATAGTAAATACTACTAAGAAATACTACTTATAGTAATAGTAGTACCCTTACTCATAACTACCTAAATAGTAGTAGCAGTAGTAGCAGTAGTAGTAACAGTAGTGGTGGTAGTAGTCATAGTCGTAGTAGTATTAATAGTAGTGGTAGTAGTAGTAGTAGTAGTAGTAGTAGTAGTAGTAGTAGTAGTAGTAGTAGTAGTAGTAGTAGTAGTAGTAGTAGTAGTAGTAGTAGTAGTAGTAGTAGTAGTAGTAGTAGTAGTAGTGGTGGTGGTGGTAATAGTTTAAATGTTACTAATTTGTGTTAGCCTCAGTTGTTCTAGTTGTAGTAGTACTAGTACTAGTAGTAGTAGTAGTAGTATTTGAATTGTTGCATGTCACTAACCTGTGTCTGTCGTCGCAGTCGTGTCGTGCTTAAAGCCGCTCTTCAGTGACATGAATGAAACACAGGGGCTTGTATCTGACTCACGCACACTGGATGCTTCCATGAAAGTCCTCAAATCATAAAACTGTATCACAAATATAAAAATACAACCATTCCAAATTTCAATTAGTATTTTTTATTCCTATTCTGATAAAAAATACTACAAATTATTGCCAGAAAAAGCTTTAGATTATTTTCATAGTTAATACATGTCACCAAATAAATATTGACTTAATTTTGTGAAGCCATGTGAGGTAACTGCTGTTTTAATTGCATAAAAAAAGAAACAATTCAATATTTATTTTGTCATTTAACTACACATCGTACTAAACAGAGAACTCATGATGCCTTCTCTGTTTAAAGAAAGACAAAAAAATAAAAATAAAAAAATGAAAAATGTATTGAACCCACATGAGCCCTATGCTGACTGTTTACAGTAGTATACGGCTCCACAATAATGTAAAATTTGAAGACTTTCATGTTGAGTTCATGTCTCGAGTGCTTTCTCTTTGTCTTTTCGTCCCTCTCCCCTCCCTCTCTTTCTCTCTCTCTGTCTGTTTCTCTCCGTTTCTGCCGTCGCCGTGGTAAAAACTGTTCAGAAATCAAACCTGATGACTCTCCTGTAAAAGGCACCAAAAAGGGGAAGTCCCGGAAGAAGAAGTCCATGGTCCACGACCCCTTTGAGAAGAAGAAACCCAAACTGGACGAACTCAAGGTGACGCTTCTATTTAAACATGTGATCTCTGTTCTAATGTCATTTCCTCATCACAGACAGACTGTACCTGGAGTTGTGTTTTGTTTCATTCACATACACACAACACACAAATCCTGCACATTTAGACTCAGTTCTTCTCTCAAACACAAAACACTCTGTTCCACCCTGTGATGTCATGTGGGAATACAAGAAGTGCACCACTGTGTTTTTAAACTCCACACACCATTACAAGAATCATTTGGATCATTTCAGCCCTGGAAATACTAATCTCTACAAAAGTTTAAAGGAGTTGTTAACATGAAAACTACCATTCATGACATCACAAGGTGGAAGAGTGCATTTGGAGCTTTGGAGATGTAAACAGACTAATAATAAAGAATTACTTAAACATGTGTGAATAAAACAAAACACAACTCCAGCTCTGTTTTTAAGAAGGTTATAATTTTGTGTAATATAGGACCATTAAAATAAAATACTGCAATTCAGACAGAATCAAGAGTGCATGGCATTATAGTAACGTCATGACAAAAACTGGCACGTTGTTGATGAGTTTTTGTTAATAAATTTGATATAAAGCTCAATCTTTAAAAAAAAATTAAAAAGATGGAAAAAAAAACATGGCAAAACAAGTTTGCGAGGTGTTTACTCTTTAATAATACATATATATTTTTGCCCAGGTGTATCCCAAAGAGTTGGAGAGTGAGTTTGATAATTTCGAGGACTGGCTCCACAGTTTTAACCTGTTCAGAGGAAAAGCCGGAGACGACGAAGACCAAAATGCCACAGACGAAGACAGAATCGTGGGGAAATTCAAAGTAAAAAACTGATTATATTAACAATTTGCCATCAATATTTAGATTAGATTAACTAACTGGGGCTGAAACTAGTGATTACAGTATTTGAGTACTCACTAGTCAGTTGCCTTGTCAAATAATAATTATTCCTGGGAGATCATTTTTATTTAACTTGTTTAACATTAAAATATTCTAAATTCAAGCATTTTGATTGAACATTTTTACAGATATTTATTTTTATTCAAATGATTTAACTCAACATTTGTATTCTTCTTGTCTCATTTTGATTTAAGAGCTTGTGCTAAAACTGATTTTCTTATCAAATGGAATTTAGTCTGTTTATGGTCCAGATAATGATTAACAATGGTCAAAATAGTCATTGACCCTACAATTGTTGTGTCCTTGAGCAAGACACTTCACTTTGAATCATGAAAAGCATTTTATAAATATAAGCATTGTTGACATTACTTTAAAATGACATTCTTTATTGTTTTTCCCCCAGGGCTCCATGTGCATGTACAAAGTGACAGAAGATATGTCCCGAGACTCCAGCTTCGACTCAAACATGGGAATGTTCCAGAATATTCCTCACAACGATCCGGTTAACGTGCTGGTGCGGATCTACGTCGTCAGGGTGAGATGCAGCCTAGACACTCTATACACTGTATATGAAAGTTACACTGAATATAATATATTCTTTTATTGTTGCTTAGGCGACAGACCTGCACCCGGCTGATATTAACGGTAAAGCAGATCCCTACATCACCATAAGACTCGGAAAGACAGAGATAAAGGACAAAGAAAACTACATTTCCAAACAGCTCAACCCTGTGTTTGGAAAGTAAGTCAAACAGCTTTTATTTTATTTATTTAACAACTGGGAACAGCGCATTTTAATACCCATGTAAAAAAAAACAAAAAACTTTTATTTATTGTTTTAGCATCATGCCAATTTAGACCTGTTGACATTAGGCAGGTCGATGATGACAAATACATGCACACATATACAATGCAACAGACACACGAAATAAAAAATTAAAAAACAAAAGTATTACAAAAACACTAAACTAGATAAAAATGGCAACAGCAGTTCACTTCCACAAGCTCATTATATTAAGGTTTCAGATCAGTGCAGAAATGAATGAATAATGAAATTAAAATTCACAATTTCCCACTAAATTCATTAAGTTTCATAATTTCAGTGCACTGTACAGACTTCCCTAATTGACATGAAATGATTTCTGTCAAAATAAAGGCCCAATCACCGCTGTGAGTACTTCAGTTAAGCAGCTAATCATATAAATGTGCACCGTCTCGCTCAGATCTTTTGACGTTGAAGCGACTCTCCCCATGGACTCCACCCTCACCGTGTCCATCTATGACTGGGACCTGGTGGGAACAGACGACCTCATCGGAGAAACCAAGATCGACCTGGAGAACCGCTTCTACAGCAAACACCGGGCCACCTGCGGAGTCGCACGCTCCTATGCCATGTGAGCACAGGGGGGAGCTCAACTACTACATGAGCAGAAATCATGTGAATAAAGTAATGGGTTCGTTTTCTTGTTTTGTTTGTAGTCATGGTTACAATGTTTGGCGGGACCCCATGAAGCCCACACACATCCTGGCCAAGTTGTGTAAAGAAGGGAAACTGGACGGGCCTCACTATGGACCCCCAGGGAAAGTGAAAGTGGAGAATCGGGTTTTTATGGGACCCACTGAGATCGAGGATGAAAACGGTACAAACAAAAGTTATACTCTACATCTTTTACCAGTTTGACAAGTTTTAGAATTTGATCCAAAGCTTTTTTTTTTTGCTGTACAACACCTTCACTGTCAAACCTGCAGTTTAATCCATGACCCTTAAAGGGCCACTATGTAAGGTTTTAGGTGAAGGGTCCAAAATATTCTAGTCTCCATGGAGGTGTTATTTATCTTGGAATGTTTCACAAAATGGCATAAAGCTTAGCAGTATTTTATTGCCAATAAAAAAATGAAAATGTACATAGTGCATCTCTGTCAAATAATTGGCAGACTGAGCGTTACTGATGTCAAATCAAGTTACATCTTTATCATCATATTATCATGCCAAGCCCTGTTGCTTAATAGCTAGCTTTTGTTGTGTTTTTTTCTAACGTGAAATCCAACAGGGGGAGCTGCTGCTGCACAGTAGTGTCTAGTTCTATACTAAAGCATTTCTAGTTCTAAAACATGAGACTCCAAAGCAAAGGTCCTCAAGAGCATGTTTGTGTATTATAATAGAAATGATGGTTTGCATGTTGTTTTTGTTGTTGTTGTTTTCAGGTCTGAAGAAGCAGACGGATGAGCATGTGGCTCTGAGTGTGTTGAATCACTGGGAGCAGATTCCTAAAGCCGGCTGTAAACTGGTCCCTGAACACGTGGAGACCAGACCCCTGCTGCACCCGGACAAACCTGGCATCGAGCAAGTACGTCAGCTGGGACAATATATGTACAGCATATGTTAAAGGTGCACTTTGTAACTTTTAGTAGAGGGTCGGCGATCTGCCTGGTTCCATGCCGAAATTATTGCTTTGCTCTGATGCCCAGATCTTGTCTCCATGGATATAGACAAGTTTAATGCCATACTGTGGAACTTCAAAGACAATGTAAAACATCTTGGAGGTAGAGAGTAGGTTGCAGACACCAGAAAATTTACTCAGTGCACCTTTAATGAAACTACATGATAAGTCTGAGCAGTTGTGGGAGTCATCTAAAACAGATCTAGGCTTACACAAACTTCACTGATCCTCAAGGGAAATGACTTAGACGCAGTAGTTCATTTATTACAAAAAACATTAAAATGGTAAATGGTCCAATTTTTATACGTTTTTCCACCTTTAAGTCTCAACGCTCTTTACATCAAGGAACCACTCACCCATTCATACACCAATGTACACAGACACTGGGGACATCGTGGGTTAAGTGTCTTGCCCAAGGACACAATGACAGCATTCATCTGTAGGAGCTGGAATCACACCACCGACCTTCTGATCAGTGGAAAAACGCTCTACCAACTGAGCTACTGTTGCGCTGATACAATATATAACAAAGGGCAAAAAGTAAATGTTATTAAGTGGTAATAACAGTGATTTGTGGGTTATGTAATAAAGGCACATTGTGTAACTTTTCGAGTGGGGGAGATGCTATTGCTTTACTTGTAATGTTGTAAAGGCATTCATTGTGGCTTGCATTTGTGTGTTTTTATTGCTCAAAAGCACCTTGGAAATCCTGCTTTCTTCTAGAGGTGGACTTGCCTCTTCGCAGATTTGACCTGTAACTTGGTCTAGATCAGAAAATAGTGTAATACAGGACCTTATATGATCTTGTGGTATTGTAGTAATGCTTTGTTTTGTGTTTGTTTCCAGGGCAGGATAGAGATGTGGGTGGACATGTTTCCCAAAGACATGACGGCACCAGGCCCGGCCCTTGACATCGCACCAAGAAAACCAAAGAAGTAAGATACATAATATAAGCAGTGATGGTGAAAAGAATACTACAAATGTACACTAAAGTAAAAGTACAGTTATATAGCTAAAAAGTACTCAACTAAAAGTACAACTATTGCTGCCAAATCTGTACTTATGTCAAAGGATAAATGGAACAAAATGAAAAATACTGCTACTGGTAGTTACTTTTTTGACAAATTTGAGAAGCATTTTTACATCATTATTTCATACAAAACTTGTAGTGTAGCCGTAAAAATTAATTACATTCAGGATCAGTAAAGTACACCTATGATTTTAAATGTAGCTAATGACATTTACAAGCATTGAATTACAGTACAAGTATATGTGTAAAAAGTACTAAGGAAATATTCAAATGCAGTCACAGCAACAGCAGTTTTTACAGTATTTTAAGTTGTAACTCTGCATATTATACACACATTACAAAGTACATGTGTAAAAAGTACTCAAAACAATATACAAAATGAGAGTATTTGTCGTTTTCTAGTGAATGTCTCTTCCTACTCTTCACCCCATCCATTCTGTACTATCCTCCTTATGAGTCTGTATGTATATTTTTGTGCAGGTTTGAGTTGAGGGTGATCATCTGGAACACAGACGAGGTGGTGCTGGAAGACGACGATATTTTCACAGGAGAGAAATCCAGTGATATTTTTGTCAGAGGGTGAGGGAGCATTTTATTTAAAGCTGCATTGTGTAACTTTTCTGGTGGAGGGTCTGTGAAATGCTCTTCTCCATAGAGATGTTATTACTCTGTCTGGAATGTTTCATAGTATGTCATTAAACCTTTCTATTTTCATGGAGACCAAACCAGACTAGGTTACAGGGCAGATCTGTGGAGAGGCGACCCCGCTCACAGTCAGAATGCCTGTTTTTTCTAGGTGTTTTTGAGCTATAAAACCACCTGTAATTGAATAAATGTAAAGTAGAGCCGTTTAAGTTAGTTATTTATTTGAAACTTGCACATATAATTCATATAACAACATACCCGTACAGACACAGACACAAACATGCATGGTTTGGAAAGGCGATGGATGAAGCAAACCTTACACATTTTCAATCCCTTCCCACACTTCACAGAACAACACTTATAGCAGTTTCCCCACACTTCAACACAATCTTTTAAATAAAACATAACAAATGAATGATACAATAACAGTGCATTCTGGTTCAGGAAATGACTTGACCTTTTCATCACTTTCACACATTTAGCAACTTTTGTTACCGCAAGTAACTTATATGAGGTTTCCATGACATTTTCTCATCTATTATAACTCCCAAAAAATACATTTTTTTCAACTCTATCAATACATGTGTTAGCAATGGTTGTTTGGTCTGATGTGGGACTTTTACATTTTCCAAATAACATGATTCCAATTACTTGAGCCAAAAGCTGCTTCAACTTATCCACTGAATATATAATATTAGTATCATCAGCAAAAAGTACAAATTAAATTTTACATATGTCATTAAGGTACATTATGAATAATAATAATAGGCCCCAATATGGACCCTTGAGGTTCCCCACACGTTATCTCTTTAAACCCTCATTTGTGTTGTTCAATCTGCACCACTTGTCGTCTGTCCCCAAAGTTGCTTTGCAAACTTTTTTTTTTCAATCCTCATCCTCGAATGCCATGGTTTTGATGCAACTGATGCTTTTCGATAAAACCACAAAATCTATTGTCAAATTATTTTTCAAGTATTTTGGAAAATTGTGGCAGGAGGGAGACCAGCCAGTCATTTGTAAAACAGAGTTTATCTCCCTTTTTAATGTTATACTGTGGAACATTCGAGTCACATATCCATAGAAACAACCAGGTGACAGATCGTCCACCAGGAAAGTTACACGATGCACCTTTGAAATTATATATAGTGTTACTCTGATGCAAAGAAATAACGGGATCTGTCCGGACCTATTTGAAATACCAACACGTTCATTTAAAAAAATTATTAAAAGGGAACCCATATTTTATCTTGGACTTGAGGAGCTATAATGTCTCTACACTGAGCGAGGTGAAAAAAATGGAAAATTTCTACCCGAAGATTATGATTTGTTTTAGATCCATTTATCACTGAAGCTATTATAAATGCTTTTATTAAAGATGGGGTATTATGCAAAATCTACTTTTTAGAGCGTTCTATCATGTTATAATATTCTTCCCTCATCACAAACCTGCCTGAAGAGGTTTTAAATGTCATCCATGCATGTTTGCATAATCTAGCGATCTCACCTGGGCTCTATTCAAACCCTTCTTACGTTTAGCTGTAAGATTCTGTACAAAAAAACATGATCCAAAACTGTGCACAACAACTTGTGTGTGTAGTGATGTGCAGTAGTTTCATTAGCAGGATGCAGGTTGATTATGTTGTGATAGCGCTCTGAAAGGGGAGTGACTTAGCGCAGAGAGTAAAGGGTAACATGACAATCTAAATATGTTATCTATTAGCAATAATACTCCACACAAAGAAGTGTAATGGCCTGTCTTTAAAGCCTTGTTGTTTTGCAGGTGGTTGAAGGGTCAGCAGGAGGATAAGCAGGACACAGACGTTCACTACCATTCCATCACCGGAGAGGGCAACTTTAACTGGCGTTTCGTTTACCCCTTCGATTACCTCATGGCCGAAGAGAAGATCGTCATCTCCAAAAAAGAGTCAATGTTTGCCTGGGACGAGACCGAGTACAAGATTCCACCCAGACTCAACCTGCAAGTGTGGGACGCAGATCACTTCTCTGCTGACGACTTCCTGGGTAAAAACTATAGCTGTGTCTGAATGTCCACATTATTCCCTACTTCGTGTACTATCTAGGGGCCACGCCATTTTAGGGGAGTCCGAATGTCCAGTAGGTGAAAAAGTAGTGCACCTTGAAAAATACTGGGCATCGGTGGTCACTAGAGCGATCAATATAGACCACAATGCACTGGGAGAGTCTGGAAAACAACACCATACAGCGATGGGTGTTTAACTGGACACAACCTGACTGACTGAAGCAGATAAAAGCTCTGGTTTATGGCACTGCTGATCTGTGATTCTGAATAAATATATAATCATTTCCACATTTCAGATAAAAAGCAAATAGTCAAGTCCATTTACGTGAAATCCAGCATGACAGAAACTTGTCTGATTATTATTAGTCCATAAACACTTGTGTGTCATTCTAGTCTGATCATTATTTATGACAGAAATCAAGTTTTATTGGAGTTTAGTGGACTTTCACTTAGACACCAGAGTCACGAGACCTGATTGTAGTGAGCTGTGTGTCTGAATCTCTGTGAGAGAGTGCACTGTAGAGGGCGCTAAAGAGTGCAGGACTATGTAATGAATGAGGGTTAGGGACTAGGGTGGACATTTTGGACACAGCCATAGACTGTACAAAGAAGAGGACTAAGGGAGTGTGACGTCACCCACAGCATTTAGCTCCAGTCAAATGAAGCTCACTGAGGAGTGATTATCAATTATAGGAGTGAATTCCGAGTTCCATATTAGGAATAGAAATTTATTAATGGATAAAACAGTGAAATAAAGCAGGTTAATACAAACATTTTAAGTGACAGCAGCGGTCACAGAGAAAGGGGTGACAATTTTTCAGTGTAAAGTCAGTTGGAGCGAGAGTCGATGGAGCTGGAAGAGCGTGCATGCTCACTTCCTGTTTGGAACGCATCGGCTAGAGGGTTAGCTATGTCCATTTACATAAACAGTCTATGGTAACAACTGGAGCTGTTCACACAAGGAATTTATATCAAATGATTTAGCTATCTTTAACTGTTTGGATAGTTTTTGGATTTCACTTACATATTGAGAATGTTTATAATTTTGTCTATGAGACTGAGATGTATTTAGTTAGTGGATCTACTTAATGTTTTTACATATTACTAGTACACTGAATCAGTATTTACCAGTTAACATTAGTTGGTAAAGATATCAGGTCAACAGCTTTTTCATGGCTTTTCACACCAATAGTGTTTTTTAATATAAGAAATGAAAATTCAAAAACAACCTAAAACTGATCTAATACTGACAATTAGGGCGGTTTATACATAATATTATACTTTGGGTGTGCATTTGCTTACTCCAGAAAAACTCCAGAAATCAGATTATGATCAGATGTTAGAGCGCATGTAAACTTCGACTAAACTCCTTTTTGTTTTGTGTTTTGTGTTTTTCAGGTGCGATCGAGTTGGATCTGAACCGTTTTCCTCGCGGGGCTAAAACGGCGAAGCAGTGTTCCATCGACATGGTGACGAACGAGGCAGAGATGCCCATGGTGTCCATCTTTAAACAGAAGAGGATCAAAGGCTGGTGGCCTTTTGTGGCACGAAACGAGGAAGACGAGTTTGAGCTCACGGTGAGGAAGAGCACAAGCAGGATTTAGGAGCGTTTTAGGTCAGATATTTTATGCAAACCTTGATTAATTAAAATGTATCTAACTTGGTGGAGAATGTTCCAACATTTGGTTTTAACTTTTCATGGAATCATGCAGTTGACTTTCCACATCCAGAATGTGACATACTATGACTTTAAATGGTTTTAAGATGCAGTCTGCCTCATTTACATATTCTTTGAGTGCTGGCCAAACAGGGCAGGAGTTGCTGTGTCATTATTGTTTATAACACAGATCAGGGGTGGGCAGTTATTTTTTCCATGGGGCCACATGAGAAACAGAAAATATTGTGGAGGGCCGGACCAAAATGCTTAACTCAATTCTGCATGATATGAATTGTATTTCTTCACAAAAAGCAGTAAATAGCATTGTTTTGATGAGCTTTTTGAACTTATGTAATGACTAAGCAATGAAAAAGTGAGGTTGCAGTCTTGTGGTGAGGTTGCAGTGCTTTAGTCCATGCATGACAACAAAATATGTTTATTTTGTAATTCCAAATGAGCTGAAACCAGGATGTTCAGAGTCAACCAAAGGGCTGTATGTGTCCCGGGAGCTGGACAATCCCCAGGTCTCACAGAGATTGTATAATAGAAGTGGACTTAGGGAGTGTGACGTCCAATCGGGGACCATATTAGGAAATTTGAGCATGAAACCAAAGAACCAACCAGGAGCAAGGCTGCTGAAGGCACACACCACCTCTCGTCGGTTAGGAAGGGAGTGGGTGTTTAGCAACGGCACTGTCAGTCAAACCGGTTGCTAACACTGCCAGGAACAAGCTCGGGGAAAATAAGTAAACAGGCATTAGCTATGTCCATTTCTATAGAGATGAGTCTATGGGTTATAAAAACAGAAAGGAGCAGACACAGTGAGGCAGCAGAGCGTCATGACTGGGACTTGTTTCTACTCTCACTATCTCCTTTGACTTCAGAAGAAACAAATTACAGTGACATGGATAGAATTAAAGGTGCACTGTGTAACATTTGTATTTAAGGGTCCACCACTTGCTTGTTTCCATGAAAATGTAATTGCTCTGTCTAGAATGTTCCACTGTATAGATTAAACTCATCTACAACAAGGGAGACGAGCAGGTAACAGCACTACGCTACATGACAGGTCAGATCTGTGGAGAGTCGCCCTTATTCACAGAAGGAATTATTGTATTTTGAGTACCAGAAACACCTGTAATGAATAAATTCTAGATGGATAAGTTTAAAGTCATATTATGGAACATTGAAGGCAAAACAATAACATCTCCATAGAGACAAGTAGGTAGCAGACCGTCCACTAGAATAGTTGCGCAGAGCTTTAAGCCTAGGTTTGTAAATTGTAAATGTGTATGTAATTCAGCTTTAAATGTGAGTTGTGTTGTTGTGTGTTCAGGGCAAAGTGGAGGCGGAGCTGCACCTTCTGACCGGAGAAGAGGCCGAGAAGAGTCCAGTGGGAGAAGGACGCAACGAACCTGAGCCTCTGGAGAAACCCAAGTATGAACTCACATCTACAGGACTATATAATAAACTAAACTGCAAAAACACATATATCTGTCATACTCTTCATCAGAATATTAATCTGACTGTGAGTCATTTTGATTACTTAAGGTTTCATTGTTTAACTGTTCTGCTCTTTCCATGAAATGTATGACTAGTTTGTACATAATTTAGCCGACCCCAGAGACTAATAATCACAGGCAACTTCATTCTAGTTTTATGCATTGCTGTTTCATGCTTTGGCCACAGAAAGAGGGAGGCGCTACTGAGACTAATTTCTTTGACATTCTTTTTATTAGGGCTGTGTATCGTTAAGACGTTGCCGATGCGATACATACGTCATACATAGGCCATGATACGATACATATCTCAATACATAGGTCTTGATACAGAACATATCTCAATACAGTGCACGTTTGATTCCATACAATATATTTCAAATTGATTCGATACAGTTCAGTAAAAAAAATAACGGCTAAATCCTGGCTGTGATACTAAAAGTCTTTGTTAAACCACTTCTGTGCCAAGTTCATATGAAACACAAACATTTTAATCATCAAAATAGTGAAAATGTCAAATGTGACAAAATACTCCAGGTCTGTTTTTGATGAGGTGTCAACATTAGAACATGTCTTAAAGCTCACAAGAGTGTCACATATTGTAGTAATAATGGGGTTGTTAAGTGATGACGTCACTTCCGGGTCCACCTAGTAACTTCAAAGCTGATTATTTTTCTACAGATTTATTACAAAATTACAAAATATGCAGTCAAATTTGGTGATGTATATGGGGACACCCCTGAAGCAATTAAAATACAGGCAATACATGATACAAATGACCTACATATTATTATCTACTTATTTAAATCTAGCTTTGTTTTTGTTCCTTATTCATCAAACAAAAAACAAATACCCTTCAAGAACATATATTTAACCACAAATAGAACCGAATATGTAACATAGAATCGATTACTAAATGTGAGACTCCCTAAAAACATGGCAACTTCATCCAGGGGCAGGAGTTAACTTTCTATTGCAACCATGGCAACCCCCTTTTAAACTGTCTATTCACCTGTGCCACAAAGTCTAAGGCCCCGTCCACACTAGTACGTCTTCGAATCATTTTGGTTGTGGATGCAGTGTTCATTCACACTAATCAGACTGAAAACGGCTCTAGAGATGGAACGATCTGGTGCCTCCAGCTCCTACAAATTCATCTGAGTACAGATCTGATCCGGCACCGTGTGGACGCCTGAAAACACCGATGTGCAGATATGCTGATGTAGGTCTATGCACCGCAAAGTAATTCACTGCCAATACGCTAAGAGGCTAGCATATATTCATATATACGGTCTGTGTGTACGACCTGCAGACGTATAATCTCTGAAAAGTTTCACATGAACCATCTCCAATGTGACAGAAATACAGAACAAACTCACAATCAGCAGAACACCCTCTGTCACAGAAAGAACACTCATATTCCATTGAGTCGTGTCCTTTAGTCTGACAGAAGCTGAACCGCATCAGCGAAACAATAGCGAGCTGTTTTGAGCGCTCAGTTTATGCAAATTAGCCATGCGGTTTTAAGTTTTGTTTCTGTAAAACGTAAACAAATTTGCTCAAAGCTGTGTGGATAAGGAAGGATTGCAGACACAGAAACGACGTGTGTGGATGCAGATTGTTTCCGATATGATGATATGGTGATACGTGGATTCTTTTCAGTGTAAACGGGGTCTAAGAAACAGACTTTTTGACAAGACAAATCTTAATTTAGTCTCAAAATTCTAACAAAAATACTAGCTTGTTATCCTATAGTTGAATTTTGCATCCCCCACTTCTTTTCCCTAACATATCCTCTGTTAGCTTCTCATATCAATCTAGTACACTTTCTGTCTCATTTATTAGTATGAAGCAACTGCAATTCTTTGTGGGGTTTTTTTTTCAAAATAAAAGAGGAAATTGTCAAAATGTTTTTTCAATCAGTTCATGTGCCTTGGACCTGGAAGTGACATCACACTTAACAGCCCAATAGGAGCTTTCAAATGAAACTTAAAATTAGACTTATTTCAACAAGTCACAAACATTTTTGAACCTAAATAAAAATGTTTGGTCAAAACTCCTCACTTAAAGATTAATATTCTGAAGTAATTTGAACTCTAGGCCATGTTATGTCATGTTCATCTGTACAATACCTCTGCTTTGTACACACTGTGTCTGTGTCCACTCTGTCAGTGTTGTCTTTGTATTTGATGTACTCGAGCTGTTTGTGTGACTCCTTCTTCCACCTTCTCACAAACATACAGGCCAGAAAACAGGAAGTGAAGACAGAGAGTCTATACCTGCACATTAAGACTTAGGGATGACTGCTAGAATCATAAATTAGTCATTAAATCAACTAAACCTTTCATAAATAATGAATAAACAAACAGAAAACTATGGACTAAACATAAATAAATATAAAACTAAATATAAACAACTTGATAAAAATGTATATAAAAGTACATTTAGAAGAAGAGAGTGATTTTTAAGTCTGCACCTCCATCTGGACCAGCTCACGTCAGGGTAAGTCACTCCTCTTTTTACTATAACTTCTGCTCTGTTTATGTCCTGTGCTAATGTATGTGTTTGTCTGTCTAAATGTCCGTCTGTAAGGTTTATGTTAGACTGGGGCGGTAAAAGAATGTTTAAAAATTACACTTTTGTTTTGGGTTTGTACATTCATTTTGAAAATAAATCACTGTTACACAAAAATAGAAAGAAATGTCTAAATTCTAGTCCTGATAAAAATTGCATATTTACTGCATGTTTTCTAAAGATGAGTATTTTCATATCTCATATCATATCAGAAAGTAGAATTGATCAACTCATACTTTGCAGCTGATGTCTTCAAACTTCCCTGGGGGTGAGAAGCTAACTGGAAGCACTGCTCTGTTAGAAGCTTTGTTACACAACGGCCTTTTTCACAACGTCTGTAGGTCTGCAGAACTTCCGGTTAATGATTTTCTGTGGCAAAATGTGTGTGTAAATGTGTGTCACATTCTCCAGCAGCTTCATAAATCTGCCCCATCACCAAATCTTCAACCAACAAGCTCAACAAAGAGTAAACATTCTAACATGAACAATTTATGCACAACTATCAAGAGAAGACAGACGAACACTTAAAGGAAACAACAACCAGGCATTAGTGACACACTGAACTAAACTAATGTTATGGTCATGAATAAAACATAAATAGCTTGTTAATTCAGACTGATTCTACAATTATAATTAAAATTAAATTTCATTATGTGGATATTAGCATAGATAGACAGATTTGTGCAGTTCGAATGCGAGACATCTCTTGGACCATAACATTAGTTTTGTTCAGTGTGTCACTAACAGTGTTGGGAGTAACACGTTATAAAAGTAACAAATTACTGTAAAGCATTGCATTTTGCTGTAACGCAGTAATGTGGTATTACAGGGAAAAAAAAATATATTTTACTTGATTCAAATGTCAGTAATGCACGTTACAATGCTTTTTTAACCTGGATTGAAGTGGTGGATTTTTCTTCATACTAATTTGCTAAAATCAGTGCAATATCAGCAGCAATGAAACGCCAGAGACGCAGCCGCGTAGACCATCAGGTGACCATCAGGTGACTTCCATGCTCCACGGGACAAACCGCAGCTGACGCCTGATCACGCTTTGCAAACACCCTGTTCTACGGATTCAGGATTCTCTCAGGGGCGGTCCTAGATTCCAAGTTCTAGTCCAAGATTAGTCCTGGTTTGGTCCTGGTTTAGTCCTGGTTTAGACCTGATTTGGTCCTGGTTTAGTCCTGGTTTAGTCCTTGTTTAGATCTGGTTTATACTTGGGTCAGTTCTGGTTTAGACCTAGTTTAGACTTGGTTTCAATCAATCAATCAATCAAACTTTATTTATAAAGCGCTTTTCATACAAAATGCAACACAAAGTGCTTTACAGTGATTAAAAACAATCCCACATTTCCCCCCACCACCAACCCAACCCCCACACCCCCAACCCCACACAATCAAACAACCCAAACACACACACACTCACATATACACAAACATGCGCACACACACACACACACACACACACACACACACACACTAACCTGCTAAAATACATAACCAGACATAGTAAAATGTGAGGCTGAATACAGGCGAACCAGTTGAGAAAGCACCATCAGAGGAGGCATCTGCACCGGGAGCAGAGAGGTTTAGTCCTCTGTTCAGTCCTGGTTTAGACCTAGTTTAGTCCTGGTTCAGGTCTGGTTTAGTTCTGGTTTAGTCCTGCTTTAGACCTGGTTTAGACCTGGTTTAGACCTGGTTTAGTCCTGGTTCAGGTCTGGTTTAGTTCTGGTTTAGTCCTGCTTTAGACCTGGTTTAGACCTGGTTTAGACCTGGTTTAGACCTGGTTTAGTCCTGGTTCAGTCCATATACGGCGCAAAAGTTCAGCATCTTCGCAGTTATTTTGGTGAGAGTAACTTAAAAGAAATGTAATGCTTTACATTTTAAATACTGTAATATTGTGATGTAACAGATTACGTTGAACTGATAGTAATAAATCATAAATAACACATTACATTTTTAAAGTAACTTGCCCAACAGTGGTCACTAATGCGTGGTTGTTTCCTTTAAGTTTTCGTCTTTCTTCCCCTGATAGTTTTGGATAAATTCTTCATGAAGAATGTTTATCCTTCGTGGACCTTGTTGGTTGAAGATTTGGTGATGGGGCAGATTTATGAAACTGGTGGAGAATACGTTTACGTACATTTACACACACATTTTGCCACAGAAAACCATTAACTGGAAGTTCCACACTCCTACAGCGGGACACTTCTGGCCGTTGTGAAAAAGGTCTTAGACTTCACTCTGATTTTTGTTTTAAATCTGACCAGGTGAGCTGATTTGTGCTGTTAAACAAGTCTCTCACACATAACAGTACAGTCACAGTCTAGCTCGCATTAGCTAACAGTTTGTCAGTTAGTCACTCTCACCTTTTTGTTGAAAATCACACTCCTAAACACACTTCTGAAAATGTGCTGTTTAAATCCATTTCATAATTTTTCTTGAGTTTTCAGACAATCTTAAAACATTTTCGACAGTGTTTGGTCATGTGTGCATTGTGCCACCATGGTAGCTGCTGAACATGCCACCATACACTTATATGTAGAACACCCCAAGCACAATGTCAGTGCAAAGTATGAACAGCACCTTTGAGAGTATATGAGCGTAGATAAATGAAACATGTTTAATACTATTGAACAGGAGCTGTATTGTGTTGTGTTCTCACCCCCCTCTCCTGTTCCAGTCGTCCGGACACCAGCCTGCTGTGGTTTCTCACCCCGTTTAAAGCGATCAAACACCTCGTCTGCACTCAGTACAAGTGGCTGGCCATAAAGATCGTGGTGGCTCTGCTGCTGCTGGTCATGATCGGCCTGTTCCTCTACAGCATGCCCGGATACATGGTCAAGAAGATGCTCGGAGCTTAAAGGGCCCATATTTTATTACTATTTTAATCTGTCTCATAATGTTGTTTCCTCATCACAAACACAACTGGACTTCTGTTTTGTTCCATTAAAGGTGCACTGTGTAACTTTTCTGGTGGAGGGTTCGTTAAATGCTTTTCTCTGTGGAGATGTTGTTGCTTTGTCTGGAATGTTTCACAGTATTAAACCTTTCTAGACCAAACAAGACCAAGTTACAGGTCAGAATGTTTGTTTTTCTAGGTATTTCTGAGCTATAAAACCACCTGTAATTGAATAAAGCTGTAGAGGAGAGCTGTTTAATGTCACACTGTGGAACATATCAGGCAGAGCAATGACATCTCCATAGAAACAAGCAGGTGACACACCCCCCAAGTTACATAGAGCATGTTTAACACACAAACCCTGTATATTTAGGTTGAGTTGTTCTCTCATGCTGAAAATTCTTCTGTTCCACCTTGTGATGTCATGTGGAAATTCAGGAGGTGCTCCATTGTGTTTTTACACTCCATACACCTTCAATAGAATCATTTTGATTTCAGACCTGGACTTTGCCAATCTCTGCTGAACTAAAGGGAAAAGGAGCTGTTCACTTTAAAACTACAGTTTCATGACATCACAAAGTGGAACAGAACATTTTGAGTTTTGGAGATGTAGACAGACTAATTATAAAGTGATTGTTTATTGATGAGGTAACAACATTATAACATTATAACTTGGCTTAAAACTCAGAAGAGTTAAGTTTGCGTAATATAGAACCTTTAAACTAGTCCAAAATGTAAACACTGGCTTTTGTAATTGTAGATTTTAGTTTTCAGAAATAAATGAATGTATCCTTTTTGCTTCCATGGCATTCTCTAACAGGTTATATGCATGTTTTAGAATTTGCTGATGTCTTAAATTCACAGGTAGAGGGGCAGGAGCCTGTACAGCTCTATGAAAGAGTCATTGAAACCTACAAACTTCTGATCGACAAATGTTGAACTTTATCATTCTGTGTTTACGATTGGATCCACAAATAAGCTTAAAGTCCTCTTAACTAACAACTCTTTCTGAAGCTATTGTGAAAAGAAATTCATGTGGATAGGTCCAGTAATTACAGAGATATGAACCATAAACCAGGTCAACAATCTGCATCTGACAGGGATCTCTAAGGATTCTACAATATTATGATCCACATATTTAAGTCTAGACATACTATTACTGAAAGGACAATCAGATACTGTTTTGTGTGATGTTTGTGTGTGTGCATAATTTATTGTATTGTACTGTATTTATTTAACATAAAAAATGTTCTTATGTTTGTGTTACACTCTGGACTAATTTGAATAACTGTGGTGACAATAAAGTTTGCACTATGACTATACCAACCACAAAACTCCCGTTGTAATTTGATTTAAAGATGCACTATGTAACTTTTTCTGGTGGAGGGATTCGGCACCTGTTTGTCTCCATGGAGATGTTATTTGCTTTACCTGGAAGGTTCCACAGTATGACTTTAAAGTCCTCAATCTTGCATTTATTCAGTTATGCTCTACACAGCAAAAAGTGGAGTGTTAAAATTGAGTCTCACAGAATCAATTTGAACATTTTCTCAGGGTTTATATGAGTCCAGTCTGTTCTAGAGTTAATTTAACTTTTTTGGAAACGTTAATTAAGTAACACTGGACCTGGACTGGAAAGTTCCTGTTTAACCCTGAAATTAATCATTTTGAGAGTAAATGCATAACACTTTGTAGAGTTATCTTGATTTAGCTAAACAACACACAGAGGTGTTTTATTTTTACACTTTGGTTAATTTAAGATGAAATTCTGTATAAAACTGGTTCAAACTTGTCTTCTCTTGTGGGAGTTTGAAGTGGTGGTGGGAGGAGCCAAATTAACACTAAGGGAAGTTGAATGAACAATAACACTAACATTCACTTCAACCACATCAACTCTGGCAAATAACCCCAACTCCAACACACATTTCACTTTCAATTACTTAAAATAACACTTTTTGTGTTTTAAAAACAACTCTGAAAAAATGTCCCTGAATTTTTAACCCTCCAGTTTTTGCTGTGTTCTTTAATGCACTACTAAGGAACATTCCAGGCCAAGAAATAACATCTCCATGGAGAGCACAGACAGATTGCCTCTCTGTTCCAAAAAAGTTTGATTATAAAATGAACAATAAACTGTGTCTATCTCATTGGCTAATTATTGTTCAAGTGTTTTTATGCAATTCAATGTGTATTTCAAATAAAACATGTTCTGTGTCTGTCGTCTCACTTCAGTTTAACAGGCTTTATTCACACTTATGTCACAAACCAGGGAGACGTTTGGAAACATGCCATGACAACTTCCTCTGTTCAAACAAAATGTAGGAAAAATGAGAAAATGTCCCAATTTTCTTCATCTCCATGTCATTGTAGTGTTCTGTTATGTTCAGCGAATCAACAATTCCAACCACACCTCAGTTTTCATCATTTCTCCACTGACACACAACTCTGAGTGCACTGGTACATGTGATTAGAAGAGATGAGGCCAAACTCCAGATGATTCCAAACAGCACATACATCTGCAGTCTTCATTTTACCTCTGATCACTTTTACTTCAGTGGGTTTGATCACAGTCAGTCGAGTATCTGGAACTAAACTGGAAGTTTTTATTGCATATTTCCAAACGTCTTCCTGGTTTGTGACGTAAGTATGACTATTAGTACAAATGAGTGCAAATCAATGGAATTTTTAAGTCTACACAAACCCAAGCATAAAAATACTACTGTTATTTAAAATAGTGTTGTGTTAAATAAACCAACTTAATTATAATTCATATTTTATAGAACATATTAACAGCTGGCGTAGTTACAAATAGACATATCCTTAAAACTGCATACTTTAAATATATTTCAGGACAATCCTGCATTTATTCAAAGTATGTAAAAACATTTTATTGTCAAAAATACTTGTACGTGTTCATCTCAAGAACTTACTAAATTACAAAAGAAATCTGTGTTTTAACAACATTAAGCACTGAACTGTGTTTTATCTTCTGTCCCTGGTCCTGTTTGGGTCATTTTAGTGCAAACAGGGACATTTGCAGCTTTGTGGCCAAAAATTTATAAAAAGTGTGTCCTGACTTCAACCACCACTGCAGTTTCAAGTACTATGTGATATCACACATGGCTGCCAGAGGTTTCTGATTACAAACACCAGTAAACCAGGTCTAACCCAGAACTAAACCAGGACTAAACCAGAACTAAACCAGGACTAAGCCAGGTCTAACCCAGGACTAAACCAGGACTAAACCAGAACTAAACCAGGACTAAACCAGGTCTAACCCAGGACTAAACCAGGTCTGACCCAAGACTAAACCAGGTCTAAACCAGGTCTAACCCAGGTCTAAACCAGGACTAAACCAGGTCTAAGGCTCGCAGGACTAGCAGGCAAATCAATCAGATCTCCATAGAGACAAGACAAACAGAAAAGTTACATCGTACACCTTTAAAACATGATCATAGACTGTAACTTAACCCTAATGTTCTTTGTGTGTGTCCTGGTCAGTCGTCCGGACGTGGCTCTGCTCTGGTTCCTGATCCCACTTAAAGCTGCTAAACACCTGGTGTGTGATCAGTACCGCTGGCTCACCATAAAGATCGTCACGGCGCTGCTCCTGCTCGCCATCATCGGCCTCTTCCTCTACAACATGCCCGGGTACATGGTCAAGAAGATGCTCGGGGCCTAACTGCAACAACAAGGGCTTTTATTTTATTTACTGTTTTAGAGTGCACCAATCAAGCAAAACTACTGATACTCTGCAGTGATGTTACGCTGGGGGTGCTCTGATGTATCTCTATGGCTGAATGTTCAGTATTTACCATGGATACACAATGTACACATTAGCAAACACAGACAAAGACACGTTTTAAGGTCTGAAACATGTTTTAAGATCTGAAAGTTTAAAATGAAAGAAAAAAATACAAAATGGATGTAAAGAACACATTTTCAGGAGCCTGTGATCAGTGTGAGCGTTCATGTTTCTGTTTTGGAGTTTGATTTTCAACTAAAAGGTGAGAGTGAATCACTGAAAATTGTGCTTCATGTAACTTTTCTGGTGGAGGGCCCGACGTCAAATGCTTTTGTCCATGGAGATATTATTGCTTTGTCTGGAATGTTTCACTGTATGGAATTAAACCCTTCTATTTTCATGGAGACCAAACCAGACCAAGTTCCAGGTCAGATCTGTGGAGAGGTGACACCACTCACAGTCACAATGTCTTTTTCTGGGTATTTTTGACATATAAAACCACCATAAAGTAGAGCTGTTTAATGTCATACTGTGGAACATTCCAGGCAGAGCAATGACATCTCCATACAAACAAGCAAGTGATGGACCCCCAACCAAAAAGTTACATAGCTGCACAAACCAGGTCACCTGTTGTAGTTCCAGATAAATAATTTCTTTCTGCTCAGATTGTGTTGAAATAAAACTCAGATTAAGTCTAACTTGAGTAACAGAGCTTTAAACAGAACAGTGCTTCAGGTTAGCTTCACACCCCCAGTGAATCTTGATGACATCAACTGCAAAGTATCAATAGGACCACCCATAAACTGCAAAAACACAGATTCAAATATATATGTAATCATACTTTTATTGATGTTAGACAACAATTATTATTTTCTTCTTTTAGTTAAAGGGTCTGTAAAATGTGTGATACATCAGCACAGTTCTGTTGTAAAAGCCGCTTTTTAAACTTCAGAGGTTCACTGGAGACAGCTGTGTGCTGTTTGCATCCAATTATTAAGTGTTTTTTTGTCAGAGAATCAGGAATTGCACTATTATCATGCTAGTTGTTGTTAACTTTACCTTGAGGGAAAAACAGACTCTGAAAGCTGTATAAAGCTTTTATAAAGTCATCCTGGTGAATAATGAGGATGATCTGAACACATGAGGTAAGAGACGAACAACTCTGGACCACTGTGAACGGTTTAGAATCAACTAGTTCTGTTTTTCAAGGACAAATC